AAATTTTATTTCCTTTAAAGTATAAAAAAATCACTATTATTTTAAAATAAATTCTAAATAAAAAATACTTATTATTGTGGGATGTAAGGAGTATATTCTAACTTTACTCCATTTGTTCCAAAATAATTATCACTCTATAATTTCAAATTTGTCTCGAATTTTTTTATTTTTACTTTTCAAAGTAAACAAATCTATTTTTTTACATTAACCTTATTATTATCTATTTACTTTAATTAATCATCCTATCACAAATTGTTTCTCTTCATTTTTTATTTCTTTTTAAGGGTAATATAAGTAAATATAAATTATCCTCAAATTCTTAATTTGAAAAAAAAAAGTTATTTTAAGAAAGAGATAATACAAATAAAATTAATTTTTTGAACTAAATAAAAAAAGAAGTAACATAATTTCATCCTAATAATGACAATGATGAATTTTTTAGTTATTAATCAAAATTAAAACATATAAATTTATTACAAAATTAAAAATAAAAAAATAAAGAAAAAATCTTCTTAAGAAAGTAGAATGGTTTGAATATAAAATTTAAATGAAAATTTTGTGAAGTTTTTGAAGTTAAAGCGTAATTTTTTAGAAGTGCATGTGCCACATAAGCATGCCATGGGATTTTGTTAAATAAACTAATTGCAGTTTATTGGATAAATGAATTCGAAATGATTTTCAAAGTTTACAGATGATTTAAAAAAAAACTAAACTTTTTAAACTAAAATAAAAAGAGAGTAATAGTTAGTAGATGAAAATTTAAATTTAACCCAAAATCGAGTGGTATTGGGCAAATTAAATTGAACTCGGCGGAGCTACTGCTAAGCCCTTAAACTTGTCCCTCTACAGGAGATATATGCAAATTAAAAAATAAATTTTTTTAACTTATAGTGCACACTAGAGAAGAAATGAAATTAGTGCATGTTAAATCTAGCCATTTCAACTGTTTGTGATAAGGGTCTATTTGCACCGGCTCTGAAGGAGGGCTTACTAATAACTAATACTAAATTTACATCATTTATATTTTTAAAAATTGTTTAAAAAAATTAAAATTTTGGTGAAGTTAACAATTTTTTCAAAGAAATATGTGCTTGGAACAGTTGTGTATTTATTTATCTGCAGAAATTGCAACCTTTTGATACAATAATCCAAGCAATTTTTCCTGTACAACAATTTTTTCAAAGAAATATGTGCTTGGAACAGTTGTGTATTTATTTATCTGCTGAAATTGCAACCTTTTGATACAATAATCCAAGCAATTTT